GAAAGAAAGAAAGAAAGAAAGAAAGAAAGAAAGAAAGAAAGAAAGAACGAACGAACGAACGAACGAACGAACGAAAGAAAGAAAGAAAGAGAGAGGGAGAGAAAGGGAGAGGAGAGAAAAGGAAAAGGCAGGTGTTCCCAGCTACGAACAAGCGTCCAGGGACACACCAAAGAAAGAGAGGGGTGGTCCTGAGTATTTCATTCAGGAAAACCCAGAAAGCAAAGAAAGAAAGGGGGAGGGAAGGGGGAGAAGGGGGGCCAAGTTCTCGACAGACTCCAATGAGCCTTGAACAGACTTTGGTCGCTGCGAGCACGCACGGCTTGCCCGAAGGCTGCCACCTCTGACCGCTGCGGTCACGTAAAGGCATGAGCCAGCTTGGAATTCCAAAGATGAGACAAAAATCTGAGTTCTCTCGGCCTAGGCCACCTTCGCCCGCTCTGGGCACGTACATCTCCGGGCATGGGAGATAACGACAGACACCCGTTCGACGGGTCCACGGGAGGCACTCTACGGGCTCATCCCGGACTGGCACGAGGCCAGACACACTTATGAATATGCATACTGATGTGAATGCGGTCCCACACGCCGGCCTAAGTGAAAAAACCTTAGGAAACAGGGCAAGTAAAGGTAAAGTTAAATTAGAGGCCATCGCTAGAAGTTGGAGGCCATCGCCCAAGTTTGGAGGCCAAAGTACCAAGTTTACAGCGAGCATGTTTACAGCAAGCACGTTTGCAGCAAGCATCTGTGCCCACCCCAACTCTGCAGACTGGATAGGAATGCATCCAGTCGAGCAGAGCGGACGCGCCGGCCCTAAGGGCAACCGGCAAATAAACTACTAGAAGGGCACCACAAATAGGAAGAGGCCATAGCGACAAGGTTGGAGGTCTGCGCAATAGGTTAGAGGGCCCACAAGACACAAGGCAGCAAAAAAACAAAACAAAACCAAAAAAATGGATTGTGACTCCAAAGGTTGCACTGCAACATCATGAAACACTTCAAGATTTGTGCGTGTCATTCCTTTAACTGCAACATGGTGGTACACTTCAAGATTTGTGAGTGTCATCCTTCAAACTTCAAATGAATCCCTGTGACTACAAGGGGTCCACTCTTCACTCGCGCGGCTGAAATGCAATGCACAAGTTGCTGAGAAATGCGGTGGAAAACCTGTTTTTTGGGAGGAGCATGAAGAACCATGAATCAAACCGTGGAAAAGTGGAGTAACAGCGTGTGGATAAATCGGCAGGTACACACCAAAGCGTCCTTTGGTGCTTCCCCTGTCACATCCCAGCTTCGTTGGGCCAGGTTGGATGTGACAGGCCTGGCCCCCCTGCCTGCGTGGAAAGTGGGGACAACTAGAAACCCTTAGAAACAGGGTGTGACACACACACACACACTCGAATGACGGGAACCCTTCGCTACGCATTCGGGAAAAAGAAGACTTGCTCCAAGGTGCCAAAAGCGCTGACCTGAAAAATGGCCTCAGCACATTCCAAACAGGTGAAGTTGGCGAACAGGAATGCCGCCAAACGGTGCGGGCAAGGAACGCCCCTGTTAGTTGGTGGTCCAAAAACCTCGTTCTCATTGGCAACATTCCATGCAAGATACGCCGCCTTGGAGAAGAAGACCATTCAAAACACATCCAAAGAACATCGTGGCAAATATCTATGGACATGAATCGACCTCCTGGCCTGGAGCGACCAGTTACTCGTGTCTGGGAAAACTCGCAGGTCAGTGCCTGAAGACTCTCACAGCATGGAGACGTGAAAAGTTGCAAATAGCTCTCTGATGCTTTCAACGAACACTGTATATACACATACACGTTGAAGGTATGACAACTAAGAGCATCTCACAAGAAGTACTTCCAAAAGAACATGATGTCTCGAAGTGCAGCAAACTCCGGCCACGTTCGAACCTCAGTTCATTTTTGGGCAGCTTTTTGCTAGGAGGGAAACGCCGTATAACGATACATGTAGCCGTAGCCAAGCTTTCTACCAGGTAGGCATTTTCTGATTGATTGCCAGCAACGAGCTTGCCCCAATCCTGCGTACAATGAAGATTGTCCGTCGGTCCAATCTAGCCCCACTTCCGACTGCCTGGCACCAAGACTCATGAAGGGACATTACGGAAGTCTGACTCACACCTGGGATTGTTTGTTTGTTTCACGAATAAGAAAGCCAAAGTCCTTGCCAGTCTCCAAAAGGTGCTTTGCACACATTTGCTTCCTGGGTTGCTCAAGAATCGTAGAAACATCTTGCTCACTTGATAAGCTCTTGATTTATGGCAAAACGTGCAAGCAAATCCAAAATATTGAAATAGTGAACCGAGAGCACATAAAGCTTCTGAGCAGTTCGCACAATTCGTTCAAGGCCTTTCTCTCTCTCCACATACATCATCCATCCTTAGTGCCATGCTTCTGTTGAAATACGGTGTCCATCTACTTCTCTACGTTTACGTGGCAAGTGTATCTTGCGTCTCTAAGTGTTCATGCCGTAGGTGTCCCAATCAAAGAGCGTTTCATCCTAGCACCAGGCAACATCCAGCGTTTCGGCAAGCCTGCTGTGCAAAACCTGCTCTGTTTCCATGGCAGAACAAAGTGCTGAACACTAAGAATTTGTGTCCTTCAACTTTTTGATTTCGTAGTGGCTCATCACTTCGCCTCAAGATCTGATCTCGTCTACCAGAATATCTAAGTCGGCTGACTTCCTGGAGGAGCATCGTGCAACCAGGCGGCAAAAGTATGCACAAATTGCAGTTCGAGCCTAAGTTGTGCGACGTGCATTGCAGAGACAGATTGGGAATACTTCACACATGTTTGATCGCACGGCTGTGAACTCTAGTGATCTAGTCGTCCTGGCTGCTTGCGCATTGAACCGCTACAACAAATCCAAGAATGTCAAGAGTCAAGAATGCCAAAGTAGGAGAGTGTTACAGTACAGCTGAGTACCACACCAAATTGAGCTCTGGTGCTGCAGTTTCAATTGTTTCCGACCTCCCCGAACCCGCTCCAATCTCTACCCTCTCATTCGCATGCAATGAAATCAGCCGGGTGCCAAACTGCACAAGAAATGTATTTGGATCGACGGCCACAGGCCGTCCACCAAGAGTTCCATTCAGAGCCTCCGTAAGTCCAGACCTTGAGTCGGAATGAGTTCAGTCCCGGGTCTTGTGATGATCACACACTCACTGGCGAGGGAATTGGTAAGAAATTATGGAAAGAGCTCAAAATCCGCCAACAAATCACGAGGTTTCGTTGGTGAGGGTGCATGGTTCAGTATGATCTGAATTGTGTATGATTCCTGATCTGGACTAAAGATTGACTTCAGAGGGGGTGTGGCTTTTTTGGTCGGTACTGGAGAGATACTTAAAAACCTTGACCGAAGTGATTTGAATACTTGGCATACCAGGGCATACCATTGGTGCAAGTCACTTCTCTCTTTGCCCTACCCTGCTTCGATGACATGTCAAAAGCGGAAGCGAGGCGTTGGCATAGACAAGCACGAGGCTGTATTAAAAGTATCTGGCATGCATTGAACATACGTGCGTCCTCCTGAATGGTCTCTTCAAAGTTAAACTGTTGCAGTTTTTCTTCGTATATTTTTTGGTGTAATGCAACCAATTTTGTCTTGGTCTGCCGTGCCTCTTTTTTCACTGAATGAGACGCGGTTCACTGAACTTGATTGAAAGGAAATTTGACGTAAAGGGTCCTGTTGAGCGGTTCTGGCAATATGTCCCAATAATTTGGCTCGCCTTTCATTATAACAGTGGCTGAATAAAGGGTGTTTTCATGACTTCCATGAGTGGGACATGAGGTCGGATGCTCTTCGCAAAACATATCTGTTTGTGAACCGCCTGTCAATAAAAGTAGAAGGGAGGTTGAGGACTTTCCACAAGCCTCGGATCTAGAATGCATCGATTTTGTTCAACATGGCTTTTGTAAGATGAACCGTTTCCAAACCATACAACAACTTGGCTCGAATTACTGCATCAAAGATTCTAAGCTTCCATTTTACGTTCGCACCCGACGCTCTCCAATAAGGCAAAAGTCTAAACCATGTGATTCTGACAGATTGGAATTTGTTCAAATTTTCATGTTGAACAGTGACTTCCCTATTAAGTTCATTTCCCAAATATGTTGCTTCATAATTTTTGGGGAGTGGCGTGGCATAGTCAAAGTGGATATGTCCATCATTATTCATAAGGATGGCGATGCATTTATGTCTGTTCAACCTTAATCCGTATTGGCCTGAAAAAGTTTCTGTTTATCTCAACAGCTCGTTTAATGCCCTGTTATCGGTGGAGAAGAGAATGGTGTCGTCAGCATAAAATACACTATCGTAATTTAACCCAGGAACCCTGTTGTTTAACACTCTTCTGCTCACCTTGCTATGTATGTCAAAGTCTATGCATGACATTACTATGACGAAAAGATATGGGGACAGTGGACAACCCTGCCGGATTCCAGAGCCCTGCTTTTTGATAGTGGAGGATCCGAAATTATCTTCTACAAAGAAAGTTGGGTTACGATAGCAATCTTCTATTACCTTCTTATAATGTTCGCTAAATCCCCTTCGCTGTAAGGCCTGGTAAAGTTTATCGTGTTGTATTTTGTCGAAGGCCTTTTCCCAGTCTAGTAGAGCTGGGTTCCCTGTACTTCTGCGTAGTCTTGCAATGGACGAATTATGTAAATAGCGTGATATTTAGACCTTTTAGGACGAAAACATACGAAAACCATATTGAGTGGCTGACAGCTTATCTTCGCATGTTGCATCCGTTGACGAATCATTATCATGTACAGAACTAAGTAAAGAGATGGGTCTGTAGTTTGCCGCGTTGTCTGTTTCGCCTTTTTGAAAATGGGCACCACCCTCGCTTGAAATAGACCTACATCAGCCGACTTTGTAACTCACCAAGTATTGATCAACTCTTAGAAGCCTTCTTCGATTATATATCATCATTAAGCCATTTGAGTAGCTCCATTTGGATTTGGATGTTGTCAGGACCAGGTTGCTTGTCGTTTTTAGAAACTTTGGGGGCCCAGTTTAGTTCTTCTATTCGAAACAACAACTCATCGGCATCGTTCTGGTGAACAACGTATTCGTCGGATGGGGTTCCCATATTGTCATCATTTTTCTGATGTGTGTTTTCAAGATACTGTGCTATTGTTTCGGCCCTTTGGTTAAGGGGAACATGGATCCCTGTCGTTTTCATTTGTACGTATTGTGGTGTAAACTTGGTTCGTAGGCCTTTAACTGCTTTCCAAAGATTATTTTTGTTTCTATCCTGGGGGTTGTCGTTGAACTGTTCAATCAGCTGGTTTTGTTTGTCCTTTTTGGCCATCTGGTTGATTTCTCTATTCGTTCTCCCCATTTCCATTGTAGTTGCTCCTGCGTTTCTACATTGGTTCCTTTCTTCGATTATGGCCCAGGTGCTTCTAGAGATGTATGGTTTACGCTGTTCATGTGGTCTGGTTTCCAGGTATCTTTTTGCTGAGTCAAGGACCGCTTTTTGAAAGCAATTTTTTGAAAGCAACTTGCAAGCAAGTCACAAGGGTGACATCAAAAAGCATTTGAAGCTTGTAATTATGTGGAACCATGTTCAATACAGGTGACCTCAGCTGACTGGAAGCTAGTAGGTTGGAGGCCATCCCTATTAGGTTGGATGCCATCGCTGTATAGTAGGTTTCTTGGGCGCTCACAGGCTTTTGCAGAACATAACACTCAGAAGCTGACGGACCCTCTTCTGCCCCGGTGTCGCGCGATCTTCGTACCTTGTGAACCGATGAGAACCACAAAATGTTCCCTCCCAACTGCCAAATCAATGTAGAAGAAGCTGCGTGATTCTCCTCGAAAAAGACTTCGCACCATGATGCTTTAAATAATGTATGATGTCATTCCATTCTTCAATTCATGTTGCAACTAGCCGCCTTGGAGCACCTTGAGTCTGAGTCTGCTGCCGTGGTTCTAGCTACGCGGTCAGCGATTGTAGCAATGGCACCAAATACAGTGATCTTTGTAGCATCAAAGCCTGACAATCAAAGTCTTGAGCAAAATGAACACATTGCTGCTTGACCAAGTATTCAGATCTTCAGCTGCTCCAGCCTGGCCTTTGTTTGAAGCAAGCGTGCAGGCTGCTGCCGCAAAGTGCTCTGCTAACCGGCGAAGAATCAGCAACAGCTCCTGAGCTCATCAAGCTACAAGACTACAACGGCTGCAGCTGCAAATGCGAGTCTCCAATACTAAGAGTTCTACCAATTGGCAGGCGCGGGTCATCTGTGGATGAACAGCATCCCAACCTGGCAGAAAAATTGTCTGGCCCAAGCAGCCTAATCAAGTCTCTTTTTCATGAGCTCCACTTCATGTTCAGCAGATCGCATGCGAACCCAAGCCTTCAGGTGCCCAAATGTGATCACGTAGGTTCAAAGGTGCTTTCTGTGTTGCTGGGCCTGGCTGCAACTACAAGCAAGTGAGCTGGAATCTCTGGAAGAACTCCGTGGTAAAAGCCTTTCACGGTGTCAAAGGCCTGTTTGAGCATGTGTCTAAGGTTTCTGCCAAGGGGAAGCGGGATGAGCTCTGTGAAGACCTTGACAAATGTTGATTTTCTTGGGTTGATGCCTCGACTTTGGTAGTCCTTGAAATTGTTGTTAGGTGCAACTGGATTGCAAGAAACCTCCTGCAAGGGACCTACAATACGACACTCAGAGTCAAACATGTTGCAGGAGCGACACCCGCAGGTATGGGGAAAACTTGCAGCGCTCCTTGCCTCACTGCGAGTTGCAATGCATGTGCGTTACCATCGTTTTGATGTTTACTCCGACTGTCATTTGTTTAGGAGTGAGAAGAACTACATTTCTTGTATGTCTTGGTCTTGGACTGAACTATATAAACCTATACCCGTCGACTCCTACTCCTACTCGTTCTTCTACTCCTACTACTCCTTACTGCCTCTCGCGCTCCACGAGTGAGAGGTGGATGGAGCGTGTTGCTCCACCACAGTGAAGCAACAAAGAAAACCCTAAGTGAAACACGCAAGAAATTTTACAAATCGAGCACTGTTGAAAGGCTTTATATATAGATATATGTAATTACTGTAGATTTTGGACTCAGCTACCCCTCAACACACTCTTTGCAAAGACTCGTACCTACAAAGGCGAGCTTTGCACATAGGATTTCACAGAGCTGCAATGCGCGATGCACCTATGTGAAACTGCCAAGATCATTCTCAGTTGACACTCAGCTGGGCACAGAAATCACATGATTTCCTCACGCCTCGTCCAAGTCATTCACCACTGTGGGAACTTGCAGCAAATTGATTGGCACCAAAAGTGGCCTTGCAATATGCAGCTGCCACACCAGCTATGGAACACAATGACAAATAGCTGCTTTCACCAGAAATCAACAGAGCAATTTGGGTCCAACACTGATGCATCCCGTGTTCCAAAATGGGGGAACCCGATGGGCTTACTCAACACTCTTCGCTCCTTCTCCGAACTGATTCGCAATTGAAGGAACTGCAACGCACGACCAAATGCGTTGCATTCACATTGTCCTTTTCGCCACTCAAATTCCTCTGAGTTCGAATCCCGCTTCGTGAAGAAATCACAAGGTGTCGCTCAAATGAACTAGTGATGAGAGAAGCTGTGTTTTTGAGCCTGAGGGTGGGGGGAGCTTCCTTTCTGCTCGCACGCCGCACACGGAGTAGGTCGGCGACCTCCCAAGCTTCCGCTGCAGGGGTCTGTTTCCACCACTATACACCAACGACCTACAGAAGCAGGTCGAACGGAAGTGCCCAGGACGTAGGGGTGGCTTTAGCACCTTTGTCAAAGGCACGAACGAGTAACTCAAGAGTGACATTGTCGAGGTAAGCTTCGGCGCCATGGAAGGCACCCTTTGGGTACGTCTTGCCATTGCATTTGTTCCCCTTGTCGAGAAGGAGGGGCGCAACTATGATCTGCCTTGGTTTGCAATACGAGATTGCGGCGCGAATGATGGCAGCATAAGCCTGCACAGCGCATATGGCGCCGGCAGGCAGGTCAAAGCGCCATCCTTGAGTAAAGGCAAATGCTGCAAGTTCAAAAACGGAGCAGGCAAGCCCCTCACCAAGCCTCCATCTGAGAGAATTGCAGAATCCCAGAAAAACTTTAAAGTTTGAACTCGAAAGCTGCGGCTTTTCAGAGAAACTCAGATTCACATCATTGTACACCTGCCATGGGTACAAATCGGGCGGGGTATCCCAAGGCTATCGAGGGTTGACGTGGTGGAACTTGGGAAATCGGTGCACTCTCAACAGGAGGGTCATCAGAAGGTCCTCTGTCCGGTTTTTTACAGGTCCTGTTAAGCTTGGTTAGCCAGAGTTGCCGGGCGAAAACATCAGTCTCCTTAGTTGTAAGTTCTGCTTTGCGCGAGACGGCCAGCTTCCAAATCTGTTGCTTCGCAAACTCATCAGCAAGTCTATTGAGAATGATATCCCGTTTATTGGAGCCTGCAGCTTGGGCTTCAGCTTCTGTCAAGATCGCTGCTGGGATGTGCTCAAGCAAGTGGGCTGGACACCACATCACTTGTAACGGAATCCGCTGATGGATCAGTGTAAAAAGAAATCCCTACCAATTTGTATGTGTCCATTCAACCTGAACACGTCCAACACGAAGCAGGTCGTTGAACTGGTTGACTATGGTGAGCGAATCAGAGTGGACCACCAGCGGCTGCTCAGCGATTGCAAAAGCAACGAGTATGGCCCATATAGCTCAGCACTATAGCTGGAGAGGCGCCACTGCAAAGGCAATGGTAAGCCACGGATGGTGCGATAACTGCACTGACCCATCTGTCCACACATGGCGTGTGGCCAGGAGCGGTTCAATCCAGTCAGCAACTTGTAGCTCAGATGGATTAGACACTCGCAGCTTTGCCCGAACAACTTCCAGCGGGAGCTCAGCAATCCCCAACATGTTGAAGTTTGGTCCGAAAAAGTGGGACGACGATGGCTGCAGCAAGTCGGCTGGAAGCTCCTGACAGTCTTCCACAAAGTGCTGCAGTGACTCCTTTGCGATACCACAGAATCGGCAAGTTGAGCTCTCAGTCAAGCCGGAAGCCGCCAATCTGTCTGCAGTGGTCGCGCCGCACTCTCCCAGTGAAATAAGAAGGAATACCCAGGGTTTGGGATTTTGGCAATCTTCTTCTTGGCTGAAAGCGTGAGCGAAAGGTCAAGGAAACCAGCAGCTTTGTGAATGTCCTTGCGGGGCATCAGGCTTGCTGTGTGGTAACACTTGTTGGCCGCCAAGCTCTTAAGGACGCATTTGAGGTCTGCCAAGGGAAATTCCACAAAGTCAACAGCCGGCGCCTCCAGAAGTGAAATCCAAAGGGGCTACACCAGGAAATATCCAGGATATGGCAGGCCTGCGCAAACTGAGTCATCCAAGATTGAGCGGTCAATTGATCTTGCTCATAAATTGCTTGCCAACATTGGCGCGCATATGCAGATGCACGGAGAAATCTTGCTGATTCAATGATGGTGGCAACTGCACGAAACAGGAATGGATCCAACTTATGGGCCTTGTGGACAATGCAGAGCAGCAAGTGCTTTGAACGCCACATCGGGCGGTCCTGCCATATGGCATCGGCAATCGCGCTTTGTAATCTGGCCAAAAGCCTCTTTGGTAGGAAGTTCAGCTGCGGTGCGAAGGCAACCTGAGGCAGTACCTTAGTAGTCAGAATTTGAGCTCGCTTGCTGCTGTCACAAGGTAAAGCCCTGATGGCTTCGCAATCCCGAAAAGCAGCCTGTAGTTTGGAAGATGGAAAGTTCCCAACGTTTTTCTTCGTGGTTTGGACATGTGCGCCAAGTATGTTGACTACCTCGACAACCTTAATTCATTTGTGGGAAGGCTTGCTTCAGGGCCTTTTGAAGCTCGCCTGTAGTTGCAAAGAGTTCGCACTTGCTGGCATTGAGAAACTGGCCACGTAAGGAATCCCACAACTCAGTGGCCCGTACTGCAGCAACCAGGTTGGCAATGGAGGGCAGCCGGGTCCAAATGTATGTGTCATCGATGAATGCTCGAAAGTCAATCCCCTCCAATGTTACTAATGATCCAGACCCATATGGCCATGTGGACATTGATACAAAGAAGGCTTAACGAACATCCCTGCGCTACACCATTCGGTGTGGAAATTGGCTGCGCTCTGGTCCATTGTTTGAAGGAAAGGAATCTCGTCGTACGAGTATACAAGGCTAGAAAGCCGCAAACAAAGCCTTGGGGCAATCCCAATGCCAGCATAATGGCAGCACATAGCTTTGGCATTAGCCGGTCGCAGCATTTGGCCTTGTCTAACTTCAGAGCAGCAAAGGACCCCTGAAAGCTGTGCGCCCTGTCTATTTCCAGCTGCATGGTCACGTGAACCTCCGACATTTGGCGCCCTTTCAATTTATTTCAGCTGAGAAGGCATGACTTCTTGCTGCCATTGCTGAAGTTGCAGAAAGCGAAGACCTGTATACAGTAGTGTGAATGCCGACTGAAGGGAAATCAAGCGCTTTGATAATGGTGCATCACTGCCGTCTTCCTTGTGGATAACCATTGAAACTTGTGTAAGGATGGTCGGGAACTCCACTGAACCTGCTTCAATACCATTGAATAGTTCAGCAACAGGTCGGACGGCAGCAGGAGGAAGGGCTTGCACTTCCCTTGTTTGCCAACCATCCAGCACGGCTGCAGCATCAGGCCGCCGACGGGCAGCTTGCTGCCAGAGTTGGTCTTCAGTAATCGGAGGCAGTGCGATAGCCTTCCCTTTGTTGTGGATGTAGGGCCACACTTCTTTGAGGACCTGCAGTTCATGGTCATGATTGGCATTGGCCGAGAACACAGAGTCCCACTTATCTGCTATAACATCCATGGCAGTCTGCGGGTCATAGATGATATTGCCCATCTCATCTTCAACCAAATTGGGTGGAACAACCGGCCTTTCCGCTTGAGATATTGGTAGACAATCTTCCCAATAGCAAGCGAAGTTGTTGCAGATTTCATGGCATTCCTCCATTTTGTAATGGCAGCATACTTCAACTGTTTTGTCTCTTCACGGATGGCTTTGAGGGTGAGCTCAATCAGGTGAGCTTGGCCACCTTCAGCCTCCGCAGGAAGCGTTGCTGAGTGTTGCAAAAGGTTCGGGCATCCCCGGATCCAGTAGCATCCCGACTGAATCGGAATTCTAATTCCCGCAGCGAGCGCAACGAGGCTTGTAGCAGCATGAGACGGGGTGAGGCAAGATTTCCTGCAGCTTCTTGGGGGGCACTGGCTTGCACCTTGTGGAACTTCGGCAACTTCCCACGAACATGTGGCCCTTTCTCCCAAGTCACACCATTCAGCAACAAGAGTTGGATAGCATAGTGGTTGTAAATATCCCACATAGCGTTTGCATCCACAGCGTTGGAAAAATCAGAGGCATAACTCCGCCACAACTGATCACTAAGGAGGTTGACGGGACACCCCGGGTCAGCCGGATCAGGTCGTTGAATTTGATCCAGGTTCAACTTGGCAGCTCGTTGCATCATAGTGCCAGCTTGTAGTATGCGGTCCCATGCAAAGGTGGCCTGAACAGGTCGATGTTGACGGTCTTGGTGATCAAGGACACGGATATCCAGCAGAGCTGTAAGGGCAGTTCTGTTCATCAAGATACCGTCGATGGATGATTGGCCATCTCCTTCCACGGTGCCGCATGCTGGAAGAAGGTACATGGCCTGATAGCCTCTCCCTGACCATCTGTACGCAAAAGGGGGTCTGCCCAGCCCCAATGATCCAAAGCCAACTGAACAGAGGGATACACGCCAGGTTCCATCTGAAAATCCCGAGCAATGAGAATAGGAATGTCCCCAAATTGTGCAGCAATTGTGAAGATCAGGCCAAGAAGTTCATTGTTGCGGTTGAATTTGGCTCGCTCTGATGCAGCGTTGGCAATCCCGTAAAAGTTGAAAGCAAGAAGTTTCACCCCAGGGGACACTTGGTGCCAAGTTGCGGTGACCCGTGCAGAAGAGCGAAGCTGGGGCCAGCTACCAGAAATTGCTGTAAATACGAAAGGTACCATTGCTGGCACGTTGCTTCTGAAGGGGCTGCGAGCAGGAAAGGTGGAAATTGCACATTGCAGCTTTACGCTGAGACTCAACCAGGTTGGAGTCTGCCACACGCGCCTCCTGGATCATGAAGGCATCTGCATCCCACTGCAGGCAGTTGAAGTTGGTCGCAAAGGAATCTACATTCGCTTGAGATGACGGACCATTTGGGCCCTTCTCCAGGAAAGCCAAGCGTCATGTCAAAACTGTTGATGACCCACACAATCTTACCAACAGAC